GTTTCTCTGAAAGAAGTTATGAAGGATTTTCTCGCCAAGTTTCGCCCAGATACGAAGGAACACCGATACCGCCGGTACGCTGTGGTGTAGTGTTTAGTGCGATAGCCTCACAAGTTGACGCAAGTATAGGTCGGATTCTTTTGTTTTGCATTGCCTCAGTTAAGCTTTTGAATGTTAGGCTTCTTCGAGGCAAAACATGCCCTCATACTTTAAAAATCCAAAGAGGAGTCATTTCTATGTGAGAGTTTCCTACAATCATTCCTGAAGGTGCTTATAAAAATGAAATGAACGGAAAATGGATGCATAACATATTGCCATGTTGGTGTTCCTAGTTAACATGTTACCATGTTGGTGTTCCTATCGTATTTTCTCCGGGCGGCCAAACTTGGTGCGGAAATCCTTCATAACCTTTTTCACAGAAATGATTAGCAGAAACCGAAGTCATTGGAAACAGCATTCGAAAACGAGTGTAATGGTATGCATTTCATTTCAAAAGGCCACAAACACTAAGTGTCGTTCCCGTGCTAGTTAGGTTCATTAGGAAACGCAATTACACTTTTGATTTCACCACAATTATGATAATAAAATGAAAAGTGGCTAGTTGCACAGCTTTCGTATGTTTTTAGGGGTTTTGTTTTTCGGAATGAAAAGTATAGGAAAGCCTTTTGAATTTGTTAGTGCACATGTTCTTGCAGGTGATCTGGTCGCAGTGCTTAGAGGAGAGAAAGTTTTTGACAAAAAGCGGATCATTCTCGATAGTTATGGGCGTGACATAAACAAGCCACGAAAGCCTTTACCGGAATGTCGAGTTGGTTAGTTCAGATTCAAGAAGTGAGACGTTCGATAGAAGGTTTGATTTCAGCCCAAGTAGCGCAGCTGATCGCTTTTGGGGACCATCAGGAGCCATGCGATCTGCCTCCTCCTCCACCTCATCCCACGGATGTCGTTTCGGTATTGAGTTCTAGCTTTTTGATGTAGTTTCATGCTAAAATCCATCATTCAGGTGCGCAAACTCATGCGCTCAAAAATGACTCGATGTAAGCGTTGCAAGAATCGCTTCATAGAAAAGAATATCTATGAAAGACATTTACGTGACAGACATCCCGCAGATTATACTGCTTACATTGAAGAACAGGTTAGAGTTATGCTAAGTTTAAATGATAGACAAACAAACAAGAATGCAGGAAGCTGAAATGGAACAACAACGGCAAGAGGAGATTGAAGCGAATCGGATTGAGGAACTCCAGACAGGCGGATTTATACCGCCAGAATCAGAGATTGAAGCGTCTTCGTTTGAGGTTGACGTCGAAAGGTGGGCGAAGCGGTCTATAAATGTTTTACTTTCTATAAAGAATCTCTGTATATGTTTCTTCCATAGGATTCCGCTCCCTGGTGAAAATAATGGCGGAGTTGCTCCTCGTTTTGATCAGTATGGTAGATTAAAACAGTTGAAGCGACCATATAAGAAGAAGGTCATCTGTTTTCTAAATTTCCATTATCCTATTGAATAGACATCTCTTACAGATATCTCCCCAGTGCCCATTTTGTGATAAACGATTTCGTAATGAATACTCGCTCAAAAAGCATTTTGTGAAGAAACACTCCGAACTTGTGGAATTCAAACAGTGCACAAGATGCTACAAATGTGTGAAAGATGATGAGGAATTGGAAAATCATCTTTGTGAATTGGTAAGGCTAAGTCTTTACTCTTCTTTTGCCATGTATTTGATTCCTGCAGCAAATTTTTTTCGCTGACTTCATGCTCGTTTAGACCTTTGTCTGCTTTGAATGTACTCCTGTGCGCAATCTCTGCAGCGATGTTCGCCTATTGAATCACAGGAAGAAGTTCCACAGAGGTGTGCATTTGTTATACCTTTGCTGACTTATGCAGTAAAATTGTTGTAAATTCGATATTCATCTTTAGGTGCAAATTCTGGATTCAAGTGCAACTTGTGTAACTTGAAGTTCCTAACTCCTCGAAAACTTCGCAAGCATAAAAAGATGTCTCACGTCTTTACAAAAACCTACCAATGCCATTTTTGCGAGGAAATTTTCATTAGTGAAGTTGCGGTGAGTTGCTTGATAATGCTCTTAGACGTGCCGCCACCTTTATTCATACACAACCTCTTGCAGGTGATGACACATGAGCGGATCCACACTGGAATGATAAAGTTTGAATGTCGTATATGCGACTACAAGGCTAATCGATATATTCAAATGGATGAACATTGTAAAAACGAACACGGCTACATCTGCTCCATCTGTCAGGAGAAGACGGCTGAGTGGAGCGACATGAAACATCATACGCTTGTGAAGCATGGTGGATATCTGGCTACAGAGCAAAACGCTGGTAAATAAGCAACTGATTTTGTCATACTCATTACAGAAAAGGGCAGCGCTAGTCGTTGGCATATGTGTCAGAGTCAAATATTGAGTTATTGATATGCCGCATTTTTTAAGTTCCGGTTGCAACCTATCTTTTGAAATACGGTATATCCACAGCTTCCTATAACATCATCGTTCTGTTTGGTGTCCATTTGGGAATACCTATAGCCGTTATATAGAACACACATTTGTAGCAGATGATCAGCTTGAGTTTTCTATGGTTCAATTTTATCCGGACAAGGAAAGTAGCTCAGCTTCCTAGTGCAATTTCATTTGATCACAGTGTACTCTATTGTATGAGGAAACCATATCTTACTATAAAAAAGTCTTGTCATGTTGTTT